TGTGAAACTGTTGTTTAGGTTCTTGGTGCTTGACTCAGCAACACTGGCGTCTGTTATGTCAACCTCTTCAAATATGATAGACTGCAAAAAAGGCAAGACAAAAGTTACAGTGATGCAAATCCAACAAGATGGTCTATAAGAAATAACACTTAAAAAGTGTACTGGTAATAGTTTAACAGCAAGGGTTAATAATGTGTAATAAGGAATTGTCAATATACTTTATGAAAATCCTCTTTGCACTTTTTTGCTTTTAGTCATTCTTTGTTGTATCCCAGTACTGTTTGTTTCTTACAGTCTCTTTGCAGACACTTCAGGATAGATTTTCTAAATCTGGAGCACTCAGAATCTAGAGCAGCTATGCAGGGTAGCCATAAGCATAAAAGAACAGAGCGCTTGTGGCGAATGTACAGAATAAAAAACAGTAATGTTCATAACCAGCAGACAATATAAAACAGTTTAATGGAGCATTATTAATAATGGCATGCAATGCCAAGCTGCAGTTTCTAAAGCGAGCAAAATCCCCTCTTGTATTAAAAGAAGTATAGACTCCAGAGAGAGAGATATCACATTACCCCTGTACAAATCATTAGTAAGACCTCATCTGGAATATGCAGTTCAGTTTTGGGCACCAATTCACAAAAAGAACATTGGGGAACTGGAGAAAGTACAGAGAAGGGCAACCAAACTGATAAGAGGCATGGAGGAGCTCAGCTATGAGGAAAGATTAGAGGAAATGAATTTATTCTCTCTTGAGAAGAAGAGATTAAGGGGGGATATGATCAACATGTATAAATACATCAGTGGTTCATATAGTGAACTCGGTGTAGAGTTATTCACCCTGAGGTCATCACAGAGGACAAGGGGGCACTCTTTACGTCTGGAGGAAAAGAAATGTAATCTCCAAACACGGAAAGGTTTCTTCACAGTGAGAGCTGTGAAAATGTGGAATAGACTTCCTCAAGAGTTAGTTCTGGTCAGCTCAGTGGATTGCTTCAAAAAAAGGCCTGGATTCTTTCTTAGATACACAGAATATAACTGGATACTAACATTTATAGGTAAAGTTGATCCAGGGAATATCCGATTGCCTCTCTGGGGAACAGGAAGGAATTTTTTTTTTTCCCAGCATGAGCAAACTGGATCATGCTTTGCTGGTTTTTTTGCCTTCCTCTGGATCAACTGTAAGTATAGGATTATATCTTTTTTTTTCTATGGTTGAACTGGATAGACGTTTGTCTTTTTTCAGCCAGACTAACTATGTAATAAAAGCAAGAATCACCACAAAAAAGTATCCAGAAATGGATGTCATACAAGGATCAGTGCAAACCATAGACTGAATGAATGAAGGGAGAGGCTTACTGTGTTGTAGGCATGGCGATGGAGAGCCTGGATGGTGATCTCAATAGATGGAAGGTGAAAGAGCCACTGGACTGGACTGTGACAAAGCACTATATCGTGCGAAATGTGTCGTCATGGTAACCGGGACTTGTTGAGATTGGTCTCCTTCCTACTGAGGATTTCTGATGGTTCTTCCTGGCTTCCTTGTCTTCCACTGAGGTCACTTCCAGTGCGCGATCTCCGGTAACCGAGGAGGTCCATCCTGCTCCTCTCATTCCTCTTGTGGGGTCTCTCTCAGACCGCTGTCCTTGGTCACCTGTATACCATCAGTTGTGGCTCTTTCACCTTCCACCTATTGAGCTCACCATCCAGGCTCTCCATTGCCATGCCTACAACACAGTAAGTCGCTCCCATCATTCCTTCAGTCTATGGTTTGCATATACAACTGCCTACTTTTACCTCCCTTGACTGCCTATGTGAATGAGTCCTAAATGAGACATCATTTCAAATTTCTCCTTAGGGATAAACAAGTTTTTGACAGATGTTATCGACAGTGCTATTGACAGATGTAACCACTGTTAGCAATCCCCTAACCTGGAACAAACCAATTTCAATATGAATGAGTTGTTTGTCTTTGCAACATTAGTTTGCCATAGATGTCAATAATGGGAGAGGAGAAATGCATCCTACCAACTCCTACAATGTATATAAAGGCAAAGTATTTAGAATCGAATACAGAAAAGCACAGGTGTCAAACATAAGGCCCGCAGGCCAAATCCGGCCCTCCAGGCCATTTCATATGTCCCTTGCACCTCTCCTGCAGGTACCCCCTTGTTTCTGCCCCCACTTTATCTGGCAGCAGAGAGGAGAATAGCACTCCTCTGCCAAATCCTGAACCCGTCAGTGCAGCTGCAGCCCCTCCTCATCGCTGCCTCCCCTGGTCTCCACATTCAGCAGACTCTGGTAACTGACTCCACTCCTCCTCTGGTCCTCCTCTAGACCCTGCACATTCTTCTTTCCAGCTCTGTCCCCAAAAGGGGGTGCACAGTGATGTTAGGGAGGGTGTGGGAGTCTTGACATTTGATGTAATAGGGGATGGGGTGCTCTGGACATCTAGTATTACAGATACAACCGGCTCTTTGAGGGCAACCATGATGCTGATATGGCCCACGATAAAATGGAGTTTTACACCCCTGCAGTAGAGGAAAGATTAGCCCCTCTGTCAATTGTTTACTGCTGTTTGTGTTCCTGCTGGGGAGTTTCACTCTATTTGTCTTGGAGACCAAGACAGAAAGTGAAAGGAAATCCAAAATGCTAAAGCTGTCACCATAGCAAGAGGTTAGGCAAATCATCCAAAAGGGACAAAGGTTTAATTGACAACGCTCCTAAAATATCTCTAAAAAAAACAAAAAAAAATAATAATAATATATAGCAGCTTATCATCTCTTCAATGGTATGGCTACAATAGCTTTACTTTTTCAGGATTTTTCCCTTCATTTTCACTTTTAAACACACTTCCTGTCCATGTGTGGCTAAACTCAACCCTCCACTGTACCCATGGTGAGAGCCATTGTTGTCACCCAGGCTGTGATTTAAACACATCTTCCTCCCTTCATCTCCATTACATAGGGGGTGGGGGATTAGAGAAGAAAGATAATGTTTGTGCTTTCAATGCAGCTCACAGGAAGTGACAAAAAGTGAAAAAGTTCTTCAGTCTAAAAAATGAAAGCAAATTTGCAACCATCACATCTAAGGACTGGTAAACTGCAATACAGTTGCAAGAAAAAGTATGTGAACCCATTGGGATTACGTGGAGTTTTGCATGAATTGGGCATAAAATGTGCTCTGAACATCATCTAAGTCACAATAGAAGAACACAGTCTGCTGAACATAATACTACACAAACATTAGATGTTGCCATGGTTTAATTGCACATAACATGTAAACATTCACAGTGCAGGGAGGAAAAAGTATGTGAGGCCCTAGCTTAATGACTTCTCCCAGAGCTAATTGGAGCCAGGAGTGAGCCAACCTTGACTCCAATCAGTGTGATGATATTGGATGTGTTGCTGACAGCTGTCCTGCCCTTAAAAAACACACACCTTTTTTAGAAAGTTTAGCACTGTTGCTACTCTCCCTACACGTGGTCGTCCTGTAAAAATGACTGCAAGAATGACTGTCCAGTCATTCTTCTTTACCTCATGCAGCATTCTGCGCTGTGCTCTTGCAGTCATTTTTACAGGACGACCATGCCTAGGGAGAGTAGCAACAGTGCTAAACTTTCTCCATTTGTAGACAGTCTGTCTTACCGTGGACACATGAACATCAAGGCTTTTGGAGACACTTTTGTAACCCTTTCCAGCTTCATGCAAGTCAACAATTCTTGATCTTAGGTCTTCTGAGAGCTCTTTTCTGGGAGGCATGGTTCACATCAGACAGTGCTTCTTGAAACCAGTAAACCCAAAACAGGTGTGTGTTTTTTTAAGGGCAGGACAGCTGTCAGCAACACATCCAATATCATCACACTGATTGGAGTCAAGGTTGGCTCACTCCTGGCTCCAATTAGCTCTGGGAGAAGTCATTAAGTTAGGGCCTCTCATACTTTTTCCTCCCTGCACTGTGAATGTTTACATGTTATGTGCAATTAAACCATGGCAACATCTAATGTTTGTGTAGTATTATGTTCAGCAGACTGTGTTCTTCTATTGTTGTGACTTAATGACGTTCAGAGCACATTTTATGCCCAAATCATGCAAAACTCCACGTAATCCCAAGGGGTTCACATACTTTTTCTTGCAACTGTATAATGTTTGGGGGTTTTGTGCAATTTTCAAGCCTACAATGATTTTTTTAAACCTGCAAAAACAGCTCTGGAAGCAAAAGAGATAAAGGATAAGCTGGATACTCCCCTTTCCTGACGTGCACCCAATCAGTGCTCATTACACTGCAACGTCTCGCCCCTCCCTGCTGGTCTCCTGGTGCGGTGCTGGAGATAAGCAAGGATGGGAGGAAGAGATAAACAGTGCAATGTTAAAAAAAATTAAAATTTAAGTCGCCATAGAGCCCCTTTTGTTTTTAACAGTCCCAGACATTCCTAACAGCACCTCAGATTTAAATACGGTTTTTGGTTCAAATTGATTTATTTATTTTTTTTATCAGGAAAAGTAGATTGTCATGAAGGACAAGTAGATTTGGGCACCGATTTAGTCCCTTGACAAGTAGTTTTTTTAAAAAAATTTCCACACCCCTGATCCTTACTTATATGTATTTTTGTTCCCATTTGTATATTGGATATTCTTGTTATATATTTGTTAGAGATTTGTACTGGGGCAGTAAAGATTATCTACTACAATTTCTATGCATAACAGGTGTGATAAGATATTAGACACAGGTAGCACATTATTTTCCATGCCTTTACTCCTGTGCTGCTCTCTGAAGAGCAATCCGCGGTAGATTGCTTTTAAAAGAGCAACACAGGCATGGCTGGCAAGCATTCAGGAGGCGATACTGCCACCTACTAAAAGGCTGCTTTTTTTATTCCTTTTTTGTCAGTTGAATACGGTTTTTGAATGGTAATATTGCCTAGTGTTTAGCTCGCGGTTGAGGCATGACCCTATTCATTCAAATGGGTTGCAATGGGCAGCAGTACTGCCAGCCCAACATGATAGGGGATATTTTTTACTGTGACACGAAGGAAAGCATTGCAGGCGCAGCATGAATACAGCTTCATGTGGCTACCATTGTAG